ACACGCAAACAAAACTCAGCAACTAAGACTTGTGACTAAGACCAGAGTCGTGTTTGAAAACGCTGTTGACTCCAATCTGTTTACTGGTGGTCCCAAAGTGCTTAATGAAGCATTCTGTCCCTGAAAAGTGCACAACTGATTTTTGCTTAATGGATAAATGAGAGATGCCCCCTGCCCAGGCTGTGGACTAGAGAAACTGTCCATTTAGGATCGGCGACACTGCCAAGGGGCTGTCCGCCAGGGCAGCAGCACCGTCGTCACGGGAAGTGGATTGCTACTCCTGTGAGTTGTAGGAACTCACTTTTCTTAAACAGAGTGTGTGTCCTCACATGCAAAACCGGAGATCGGGAGAGGGGACCTTACTGTGAGGATTAACCACAACAACATGCAAAAAGCACTTTTTGGCTCTCTCTCTCTCAGATCCACAGAGTGTCAGTAAATAGCTGTTTCTGCTGTTACCAGGGCTAAAATTTTGGATTAGAAGCAACAGCTCCTGAGCAACTTAGAGACAAAGTACGGTGGGAAAATTTACAAGGCAGATCCTTTCTTGAGTTTGTTGATAAATATCAGGACAAGAAGAAAAGATCTGAAAAAGACAGACACTTACTCACACAGATGTGTAGGGATACACAGTTGGGGAAGTGAGAAAAGTTGCTAGGATTAGCCTTTGTGCCCCACTGAGCTTCCGAAAGCCCACTGAATGACCAGAGATCTATTAAAATCAGCAAAGATTCTCCAGCTACTTTAGAGGACAGGACAGGGGTAGTCAATAGAGCAGAACTGCTGAGGAATTTTTGATGATCTGAACCAGATGGAATCAAAGGGAATGAAAAGTCCATTGAAACCCACAATCCACTGCAGGCAAAAGAAGCCTCTCTTTGGAAAAGAGGTGAACCAGCCTCTCTGGTAAAACAGCAGGAAACAAGGGTGCAAAGCAGCAAGGGCAGGGTCGAGCCTGAAACAGGACAGTAGGTCCGAACCACACCCAGAGAACCACCAGAGCCAGGCTCCACTCTGAGGCAAGAATCCAAATGAGCTGGTTAAAACCTTAGGAGCATGTGCTAGTCTGCATGACCTTGGGTTCTATCTTGCACCTCACTGACTTTGCATCTCACTCTGCCCATCTGTAAAAGCAGAATGACAGAACATACTCCTTGGAGCAGGTGTGCCGTCATTAACACGTCTCCCACCCTGCTCTGGTCACATCATGACGACCAGAGCAGACAAGCTCCCTGCCTTGATGGGCCATGCATTCTGGTAGAAGGGAGAGTCAGTTAACAGATAAATATAGAAAACATCGGGTGCCTGTCATGGGGACTGCCATCAGAGGGTGAGCAGTGTTTTATGTAGGATTTCAGGAAAGTTTCTCCATCAAGGTGACATCTGTGTAGAGACCTCACGGGGTGAACGACAAGCAGCAAGCACAACCTAGGGAGAATGGTCCAGGCAGAGTGAACACCTGGTGCAAAGACCCTTCCAGAACATGCTTGGTATGTTTAAGGACCAGCAAGGAAGCCAGGGTGGCCAGAGGGGAACTAAGAAGGGAGAGAGTGGCAAAATGATGTCAAAGAGGTAATGAGAGCCTGACCATATACAGCTGAGCTTTCCAATGTGGTAGCCACTAGTCAAATGTAGCTTTTTAGCCCTGAAAACGTGACTCTGAAATGAGATGTGCAGTAGGGGTAAAATATACACTGGATTTTGAAGGCTTTGGAGAACAAAAAACATGTAAAATATTTCATTAATAATTTTTGCATAGATTATATGTTTAAATGATAATCTGTTTGCTATTTGGGTTAAATAAACCATATTATTAAAATTGGTTTCACTTGTTTCTTTTTACTTCTTTAATGGGGCTACTAAAAAATTAATGACGTATGTGGCCTGTATGGATATAGGGCATTATAGGCCACAGTATGGAATTTGGCATTTACACTGAGCAATATGGGAAGTAAATGGAAATGCACATGAGGGGCTCAGCATATTTCCCAGAACAGACTGGAAAAAGTTTATAAAACCAGAATTCCATTCCCAAGCAAATTGCTCAAATATAAAAGCCAATAAAGATATTTGGGGGGAAGACATTAGATCAAGAAAGAATAATAATAAAACTAGTAAATGTTTAGTTCAAACTGTTTAGGACGTAGGGATGAAGTTTAATAAAATTGGCAAGGAATAATTACTGAAATATGAAACATAAAGTAACATAAAGAGAATCTGATAAACAGATAAAACTGGATACATGCCCAAATTCCCAATGGGTCGAGAAAGACAGGCAAAAAAAAAAAAAAAAGAAAAGAAAAGAAAAGAAACAAGCATTTCATTTTAGCCATCCTCCTACATGTAAACTTTATGCTCTTTAACTTGCATTGCCATGATGCCAATGAGGTTAAATATTTTTCATGTGCTTACTCTCGGTGTATCTCATTCTGTGAAGTGCATGTTGAAGACTTCTGCTTATTTATTTAGTTTTTTATAGAGTTGTCCTTTTATTTCCTATTGATATGTGGGTGCTCAGACATTCTAGGTAAGAATCCTTTGTTAGATGCATGCACGCCGTCATGTTCCTCCAACCTGTGGTTTGCGTTTGCATTTTTTCTTGGTGCCTTTCAATCACAATCGACATTCTAAATTTTAACATTGATTTATTGATTGATTTTTATTTTTAGAGAAGGAGAGAGAGAACAGGGCAAGGGGCAGAGGCAGAGGAAGAGAGCAAATCTCAAGGCAACTCCGCACTGAGTACGGAGTCCAAAGGGGGCTCTATCCCATGACCCCGAGATCACAGCCAGAGCAGCAATCAAGAGTTAGATGCTCACCCCACCCAGCCACCCAGGCACTCCAACAACCAACATTCTAAATTTTAAGGTAACCCAAATTTTTAAATCTTTTCCTTCCTGCTTGGTACTTAGTGAGTCTTGTTTTTAAAAAGTCTTCGCCTGTGCTGAGGTTGGGGAGATATACAATCTTTAGGAAGCTTTATATTTATTTACCTTTCCTGTTTAAGTCTATGATCCCTCTCTAATTTTTGTGTACGGCGTAAAGTAGGAGTAATGGATCCTTGTTTTTCATATGGATATCCAACAGACCCGCCACCCTATACTGAAAAGTAATCCCTCCTCTCCCTTGTAATATCACTTCTGTCATAAATCAAGTGACAATACATATGTAGATCTGTTTGGGGCTCTTTATTCTATTCCTTTGCTCTGTTTATCTATCTCTGTGCTAATACCACAGTTTATCAATTACTGTGGCTTTAAGGTGAATCTTGAGAACTGGCATATAAATTCTCCACTTTGTTCTTTTCCTTCAAGGTTATCTTGGCCCTTCCCAGTACATCCACATTTTAGAATAGGGCTTCCAATATCTCTCCCTCTCAGTCTCTCTCTCTGTCCCTTCCTCTCTGCCTGTCTGTCTCTCCCTGCCTCTCTTTCTCTCACACACAAATACACAGCCGCTAAGCAATGTTAGCGACAAAATAAATAACAATTCGAAACTTAAAATTTTTCATATCTATGCACCCATACCAATACAAGTTAGTGTAAATAAACGAGGGAAGGTGTCCTGCTCTTCCTTACAGAAGAATTTCAAGTAGTAAATACAGAAGGATTAAGGAAAATACCCATTATGCACCATAGTAATAACTGCTACAGGCAAAATCCATTGATGAATGCTAAAAAGTTCATGGAAAAATAAGATATTTGCTTAGACTTGACATATCTCCCCCAAAACATTTATTCATTACTGCGGTGGTTAACAGATGTCCAAAAATTGTTTAATACTCCTTCAGGATAGGGAGCTTCTCCCCTCCCTCAGGGTGTGAACTGGACTTAGTGATGGCCTTTTTTTTTTTTTTTTTTTAGACTTTGTCAGAGAGAGGGAGACAGATTGAGCAGGAGAAGAGGGAGCAACAGGCAGAAGGAGAAGGAGGCTCGCCACTGAGCAAGGAGCCAGATGCAGGACTTGATCCAAGGACCCTGGGATCAGGCCCTGAGCTGAATGAAGGCAGACACTTAACCAACAGAGCCACCCAGGTGCTCCTAGTGACTGGCTTCCACCTAACAGGTATAGAAAGGGAAAAACAGAAATTCTGTACGGAGGAAGTCTGGCCAACACCAGCCTAACCAAGCGACTGCGATTAATGTCACCATTAATAAGACATATTGACATCATGCATCCCCTAAAACAGGCCATGAGGAGGAAGTGTCACCTCTGTATTCTTCTCAAATCTGGGACCTCATCTCTACTCATCAGAAAACCTCAGAGAAAGCCAAATTAAGGGACACTATAAAAAAAATAATAACTGGCTGCTTCTCCTCAGAAGTGTCAAGGCCACAAAAGACAAAGAAAGGCAAGGGAATGTCACAGACTGGAGGACACATGACAACTAAGAGCTAAGTGACATCTTGGACTGGATCCTGGAACAAGAGAAAAACATGGGTGGAAAAACTGCTGAAATCTGGCCAGAGTCTGGAGCGTGGTTAGCAGCAATGTGCTAATGGTAACCTCACTTTTGACAAAGACACCAGGGCTATGTGAGAGGCTGACCCTAGGAGACGCCGGGTGAAAGGCAGACAGGAACTTGCCATGTCTTTACAACTCTTCCGTAAATCTACAGTTATTTCAAAATAAATTGCTACGGCATATTTTCTGGAAGGTTCTTCAGCAATCTCTTTAGCGTAGTTATCAGGGAAATTTGTATAAACAGGTTCATATCCTATTTATATCTTCCAGAGTGTGGCTTTTTTCCCCCGCTTCTTTTTGAAAAATAGCATTTATAATGGAACATGGCTCTCCTTGGATTTTTAAAAAGCCACTCTGGGAACAAGATGTGGAGAAAAGACAGCTCAAAAGCTGACCCAAGAAGACAGAACGTCTTTGCTTGGGGACCAAAGCACCGAGAAGTTTCAGCATATTTTGAGTCAGTCAAGATACTACTTGGACCTCAAGTGTGTTTAAGGCTTAAGGGGACAATAACAACACCGACTATGGTTACTCACCAGGGCAACTTTCCTTTGTGGTTTCAGCAGCTTCGGTTTATGGAATGTGGCAGCTATGGGAGCTGTGGAAGCATGTCAAGGGTTTAGCTTGGATTTCCTCCAGGATTCCCAACACCCACATAACACGAGCCTCACAGACATACTCTGTGGAGACTCACGGTCCCTTTTCTGCCCCCATGGAAGAAGTTTGGTTTCTGATCTAGGTACCACTGGGTGCCCCTCCATGGAGAGCAATCCTCCCCGAATCTTTGGACATGTCATCCTCTCCCACCAGCAAGGTCAATGAAACAAGATTGCATAAAACACTGCCAGCTACCAAGAGGTGAGGTGTGCAGGTGAGAACCAGGTATGTTTGGTTAAGCCTGAGGCCAGAAACTTCCCTGGGGCTTCATCCAAACTACACACTTACAATTAAAGCTGTGACCTTGACAACAACCCTCAGAGGTCATCAGGGAGGTGGGTCTTTATTGTCCCCATGTAACAGAGGAGGAAACTAAGGCTCTTCCCCCCAATATCATGTAATGAGTACTTCAATGTTTTGGAATTTGAACTTGACCTTGAAGTTCAGGCAGACCTCATCTCCAAGCCAGGCTCTACCACTTAGCTCTCTGAGGCTCACTTTCATCTTTTATAAGGAAGGGTACTAACCACTCTGAATGAATGATACATTACTGCAGGGTTCTCTGCCCCCTTCCCTCCCCAGATCTACATTTGTCATGCCTCTCAGAATGCCCAGGCCTTCCAGTCCCTCTGTCCACCCAACATGCACTCAGCCTGAGCACACGGGCTTTCAGCACAGGACCCCAAGGATCTGTAGGGGACAGACCTAGTACTTCCAACTACATTGGAACCTCACCTATGTTGCTCTACATTACAATTGGAATCAAAGACCAACCTTGATTTTATCCCCAGAACACATCCAAAATAAACTACATACCCGACTTACATCCTTAGAAAAATCAGAGGCTCCATTCCCTTGAATGAACCAAGAAGATGTTGATACCCCTTTGTGCCACCCCACTATGTGTGAGCATGTTAATAGTTGAAGGTGAAATGCATTATGGAATCAATCTGTGCATGTTGACATCCCCTCTCCCAACTCCCCACTAACACCATGCTGGGCCAGTGCACCAGCCCCGGCCCCACTCCAGTGATGGGCCTCAGTGATTATCAAAATGAAGATGGGGTTCTGCAGGCCTATCATCACCAGATGTCCTCCGTCTGTCTACTCACCCTGTCCTGATCCCACCACAAACCCCAGACCCACTTCTAGATCAGTCGTGCTGGTTCCCACGTGGGTAACCGTAGGTTAGCCTCCTACCTTTGGCAGGGACTGCAGGAGGAACGTCAGCCTTCTCCTTCCACCTCTTGCCCTTCTTGGGTTGCAGGGGAGCCAAGCTGGTCACACTGGTCACGGTCTCCCCGGAGCTATACAAGAAAAGAGTCCTGGTCAAGGCAAAAGCAGGTTTGTTCCAGGGAAAGGGAAAGGAAGCAATAGTTTCTGTGTGCTTCCTAAGTACCTACGTAAGGTGAAGTTCTCTTACAGCTGGACTGGGACTCTAGGTAGATCCCCAGGGATGTCGGGAGGTCTAGTTCTGACCTGTGGCTAAGATAAGGATGGTGAGATGAGCTAGTTAGTGATTTATGATGTGCTGTTTAACGTTCAAAGATCCCTGGGGAGATCAGGGGCCAGCTTGTCTGCCCTTACAGATGGAGAGATGGACGGTTCTTACTAGGTGCATCAGTTACACAGTCTGGCTTGGCCACATCACCAGTAGGGTATTAAGACACTATCAGAAACTTCTACCTGACCTACCCTAAAACCAAGATTCTTTGCACGTATTTTTTGGTGCATAATCCACAGAGCCCCTCCTGTGCAAGGGAGAAAGGACCTTGGGACCTGCACCCAGAAATCTCCAGGGTCCCCCGAGATTGGTCACACTTTCTTCTCCCACTGTACCTTTACCTTTAGGAGAGGGCAAGTGGCTTCACCCTGAAGAGGGCTGTGGGTGTTTTCAGTTATCTGACTCTGTGTAATCACTGTGCTATCAGGTTCTTTCTATGTGTTACCCAGAATGATGGTACTGATAAGCCTTATACTGGGGGTAAGAAAACAAGGACACGCAGGTGCTAAAGTGACAAAAGTTACACAGACCATCTTGATGGCAAACCTTGATGCCACATGTGGGATGGAGTCCACGTGCTTCCTTGAATGGCTAACACTCTTATCTCAAATACATCGGAGTGACTCCAGCAAAGGCCCCTTCTAGAACCTCTTGTCCTGAGACACACGCTCCAGCCAGGTGGGTGCGGTTACCAAGTGAGGCTCTCTCCCTAATACATAAAGAATTTCTAGAAATCCGTAAGACTATGATCAACTGCTTAATAATCAAAATGAAGGAAAGCAGTAACAGTTATCACACGAGAGGAAAGGCTCTTACCACTGAAAACACACCAGGGCTCTCTCACGATAGGAAGCCAAATTAAAACATACTGCACTTCCATTCTCCACATATCAGAATGACAATAGTCACATTGGAAACAAAGCACTCTTTTGCCAAGGACGTAGAGAATCGGGCGCGCAGAAGTACGGCTGATACGAGTGAAAACCCTTCCCGAAGGAGAAGAACTTGGCAATCAGAAGAGCTTGGCAATCAGAACTACAGATGCTTATACTCTGACCCGGCAATTTCACTTCCGGGAATTTACTCTGTGGATATCCCTGCACGTGTATGAAATGTGCGTGTGAGATTCGTCCTTACGGTGCTATTGTTGATAGCAATGGATCAGAAAGAATCCAACTGTCCATCAGCAGGGGACTGGCTAAGGAAATGATGGTGAGTCCAAAAATACACATGTGGGGTTCTCTGTAGCTGCAAAGAGGAGTAAGAAGCTATTTATGTGCTGATGAGGAAAGATACATTGCGAAGGGGAAAAGCTGGGTGTTGGACAATGTACAAAATGTGCCCCTTTTTGTATGAAAATAGGGAAAAATAGAAATACATATTACTGCTTGCATATATATGCATAGAGAAATTCTGGAAGCAGTCACAAGAAATTTTAAAATAGTGGTTCCCGGGGCGCCTGGGTGGCTCAGTGGGTTAAGTGTCCAAGTGTTGGTTTCAGCTCAGGTCATGATCTCAGGGTCGTGAGATAGAGTCCCACATCCAGCTCTATGCTCAGCACAGTGTCTGCTAGGGATTCTCTGCCTCCCCCTCTCCCCATTCACCTGTGTACACACTCTCTCTTTCTCAAATAATAAATAAATAAATACAATTTTAAAAACAAAATAAAATAGTGGTTCCTTAGAATGGGGATGCTGAGAAACTAAGCCAATGGGAAACCAGGTAGGAAGAATTATCACCATATATATTTTTAGTCAATTATTTAACTTTTTTTTTAAAGATTTTATTTATTTGACAGAGGGAGAGCACAAGCAGGGTGAGTAGGAGAGGGTGAAGCAGGCTTTCTGCTGAACAGAGAGCCCAACGTGGGACTCAATCCCAGAACCCCAGGATCATGACCTGAACCAAAGTCAGACACTTAATCCACTGGGCCACCCAGGCACCCCAATTATTTAACTTTTTAATTTTAACTATTAAACCATGTGTTTGTATAATCATTGAAAAACATAACCATTGCAAAACAGTAAATTAAACACAAATAAATATCTGCATACATGTAAGAGAATGTAGGCTATTCTAACAGACTCCTAGGGTTTTTAAAATGAACAAAGAATGACTCACGCATTGTGGGAAAAATTCCAAGGATACAGATCATGCTGAGACTCCCCAAAGATGGCTTATTTTTACTGGGAACTGAAACTCCAACTGGCCATAGGTTTAGAGTACAGGGTCAATTGTGTAAACTCACAAACAGGCCAAAGGAATGTGCGTTTACAAAACGCTGACCACTAAGAAGAAACAAGGGATCCAAAACTCTTAGAATTGCTTCAACACACAACTGCAAGCATAGCTTCATCTCATAGCTTTAAACTCTTCAAGTGTTTATTTTTTTCTTTCCCTTATAAATTAACGCACGTTCATGTCTTCAAATGGTAATTACAGGCAGGGAGAAAAAGGAAAATAAATAAGTCTATCCTAACCAAAACACAGCCTTTTAAAATATTTCCAGTCTTTTTCCTCTTTCTTGTTTATTTTTTTTAATGGACTTCATTTTTTTTTTTTTCAAGAGAAGTTTAGGTTCACAGCAAAATGGAGCAAAAGGTAGAGATTTTTCACATGCCCGCCCACTCTCCCCCCGACGTGTGCAACTTCCCCCATCACCACTGTCCCCCACCATGGTGGGACATTTGTTATAACTGATGCACCTACTTCAAGATGTCATTAGCACCCAAAGTCCATAATTTGCTTTAGGGCTCCCTTTGGGTGAGTTCCATTGGTTTAGACAAACACATAATGTATCAGACCAAAGAGCTGAACTGCCCCAAAACCCTCTGGGCTCCACCCATTCATCCCTCCTGCCCCCCACCCCCTGGCAACCACTGATCTATTTGCTGTCTCCATAGTTCTGACTTCTCGGGAATCTTACACAGGTGCAATCATGCAATAGGTAGCCTTTTCAGAATGGCTTCTTTCACTTACTAACAGGCATTTAAGTTTCCTCCAAGTCTTCTCATGGCTTAAGAGCTCATTTCTTTTTATCCCTGAATGATATTCCACTGTCTGGATGTACCACAGCTTCATTATGCATTCCCCTACTGTAGAAGATGTTGGTTGCTTCCAAGCTTGGGCCATTATGAGTAACACTGCCATAACTATGTCCAAGCTTTTGGACATTAAGTGGACATTAAGTTTCAACTCTTCCTTGATTTTTATACATTGTATTTTTTGTCATAATCTACTTATAATTTTGTGCCCTTCTTTTTACTTAATCTCTATTTTCCATATTGTTATGTCCTCATATTGTTCTGATGAGAAGCTATGCCATGGCTTCCTCAGCCATTCCCTGACATCTAAGTAATATTTGATGCATGAGTGATATTGCCATACATGTATTTGTGCATCATGGTTTTCCACTCTTAGACTTTTGTTTTGGGTTAAAGTCTTAGAGCTGGGATTACAAATTCATGAAGGAGGACCATTCGAAAGGGTATCTAACTCCCTGCTGTCAAAAGGTTCTCCAACAAGTTAGTCCTACCTTGTAGTAACTCAGTCAATGGACAAGGGTATTTCTGTTTTCAGCCTTTTTAACACCAGGTCTATCAGCTTTAAAAAACCACTCGCTTAATGAATAAAACTGTGATCTCCCTTTTCCTTGCATTTCTCTGACTGCCAGTGAGAAGGAGCATTTCCAGCATGTATCTAATCGTGTTTCTGCTTTTACAGATGCCGTATGGACATATGCTGTCATTTGTAAGGGTTCTGAGTTTTTCTTACAGGTTTGCATGCACCTTTCACATCGGTCTGACGTATTTATTGCAACCATTTCCCCCAATTCCCTTTGAATTGTGGCTTCTTGTTAAATGCATGGTGACTTGTTTCTTTTGCTAAAATCATGAAGTGTTTTCCTTTTGTCTGTTGCCACTGAGCTTGGATCGTCCTCCCCAGCTGCATCTCACACGCTGCAGAATCAAGGATTTCTCCTTCCTCTCCCCTTTTCATGGACTTCGTTCTTCAGCTCTTCAACACAAAATGAAAGTTTTGGGACGATCATTTGTATAGATGCGTGGTCTCAGGCCCAGGGCATTCAGCAAGCTAAAAAAGATCTGCTTTGTCATCACTGTTTTCCTTCAAAACAGCAAAACTGCACTAAACTAAATTTAGCTCTAATTCATACTTCAACGATGAGAATTCATATACAATGAGTCACCCCCATGACATGACAGATTATTTTGCTCACAGAATATTATGTTTCCCATTGAGCCAGCAAGACTGGCAGACATTTTTGACAAAGAAACTCCACATTATGATTCACTGACCAGAAAGTTACTCTATATCTTAGATTGGAACAAGACTGTGTTTTGTCTCTGACACAAGGGGAGTGAGCGTTGCTGGAGCCAGTCAAACCCAAAAAGATAGAGAAGAGGCCGGAAACTCCGTCTAAATGAGAGAGCTGTGTGATTGGAAAGCAGGGCTATTTGTGGAAAACAGGGCTGCCTTTCTGGCTCCACCCAGGGCCTCGTGGCTGGCACGCATGTGACAGGTATAAGGTTCCAGCCTGGCCACCGTTCGTGGGCATCTCCCTCCCACGTGCGTGGGGCATGTCTGCTCTGTGACACACGGTGGTTGGGTCTAGGTCTAGTGAATGGGCAGTGGACAAGGGGGTTGGGTCGGCACCAAAGCAGGTTCCACTCTGATTAGAGGGGTGACCTTGGACGAGTCGCTCGCTTCCTGGGCCTCATCCACCCATCTGTAAAATGGGGAGACCTACACTTGCCATCTATCACACAGGGTTATCATGAAGGT